CCGGACTCTGAGGAAGAATCGCAGAGCAACAGCGGCGGGGGCGTGAGCCGGGGCCGGGGCAGCGGCGGGGGCCGGAGGGGCCCCCGGGTCCGCCGCGTTGCGGCCCAACTCCCAGTCGGCGTTCCTGGGCCCCCTGCTGTGGGAGAGGACCTTGCCGTGTGACGGAGGCCTGTTCCAGCTGCAGTACATGGACCTGGAGGAGTTCCTGACGGAGAACGGCATGGGGATGCACGGCAACGGGCCCAGCTCCACCAGCGCCCAGATCCCCTCCCAGGTAACCGCTGACGCGACGTTAATTCACCCAAACAGAAGTCAGACGCATCGTAGCAAGTGACAAGTGCTCGTTAGCCTGTTAGCCTGTTAGCTAGTTGGCCTATTAGCTCGTTAGCTTGCTATCTTCCCAGGGTTAGCCGTGTTTACGTGGGTTGTTACGCCCAGATACTTTAGCGCTGATGATACATTTTGTCTGGTCCCAGAGCTCCCAGTCGGCGGTGCCCAACCAGAGCTCCCAGTGCCCTCCCTCTTCTCCTCCACCCTGCTCCTCCTCTTCCTCCTCCATGTCCTCTTCATCCTCCTCTTCCTCGCTGCTGGGACTGGAGACTGTCCAGCCACAACCGCCGCCGCCGCCGCCCCCACCTCAACAGCCGCAGCAGCAGCCGCAGCAAGGCATGATGGGAGGACCGGAGTGTCATCACGGTGAGTAAGGGAGGAATTAGGGAGGAGAATGGAATATTTTAAAACAGAAACAGGTGATAAGAGGAACTTTCTTACTGCCCAGCTGCATTCTCTGTAGTGACCAGCAGGGGGCGACTCCTCTGGTCCATTTAGTGTCAAACAGACCATAAAGCGGGGGACGCTTTAGTCCACATTTGACCTTTTCACAGTTCTTATATTTCAAACGTTGCATGGTTTATTGGCCAAACTCAGGTCTTCAAACCGTAGTCCAGACCCTGCTGGGTCACGCTTCACGCGGCTGCTGCAGTCGGATGCAGAAGCTGCAGTGAAGTGATGTGACCCCTGATGACCCCTGATGATGCATTGCATTAACTCACGCTCTCCTTCAGAAATACCCAGAGCAGGATTTGATCTAATTATATCCCCGTGTGATAAACGGCAGCTCTCCTCTCCCCAGCAGCCTGTTTTCATCAGTTATACATTCTGATGCTTTTGTCATGTGAACCAGAACGAAAGGAACATCTGTTGGTTTGCCTTTTATTTTTTATTTTTCCATTAGTGTGAGAAATTACAGTTACGGCGAATTTAAACCACAAAGCCATTCGTTATGATGCTGATGATGTTTTCATTTTGAACTCTCAGAGCCTTGTAGGACCCGTCACAGCCAGCGTCATGATGATTGATCGCTGACAGGTGTCACGTGCCTCCGCTGTGCAGTCATTCTGGGCTCGCATTGAATTTAATACACAATGTGTTCTACGATGAGCTTGTGCACAGCAACAGACGGAGAGGATGGGAAGGGAGAGAGAGGGAAAGGGAGAGAGAGGGAAAGGGAGAGAGAGGGAAAGGGAGAGAGGGAAAGGGAGAGAGAGGGAAAGGGAGAGAGGGAAAGGGAGAGAGAGGGAAAGGGAGAGTCTGCCCAGTAGGATCCGATTTTCAGAAATCCGAATGGAACATTCGTGAACGTTGTCTTTTCATTCCGACTTATAAAGAAAAAGACGGGAGACGTTTTCCTCCGTGACAACGAGCTGCAGAGTCGCTCCGAGCGAGAAAAAATGAGAAAAGAAATTTACAAAATGAGATGAAAGGAGGCAGAGGAGTGAATACCTCTGGTGTGTGTGTACGTGTACGTGTGTGTGTGTGTGTGTGTACGTGTGTGTATGTGTGTGTGTGTGTACTGAGTGCTTCTCCATGAACACGCCATCTGTGTGTGTTTGTGTGCAGTTCGCTGAGCTTCACACTTGCACACGAGTGTCCTCTTTGTTTCGGCATTTGCATGCGACTGTTTAATGTGAACGTGCTCCTGCGTGTGTGCGTGTCTGTGTGTGCGTGTGTGTGCGTGTGTGTGTGTGTGTGTGTGTGTGTGCGCGCGCTCTCTTCATCCTGAGTTCTAAACACGTGACTGAGCTGAGCATGATGCATCCATCCAGAAATCCCTCAGGTCCCCGTGGAGCTCGAGTGTTACTACAGAGCTGCAGAGGGGGGGTTGGGGAGGGGGGGGGGGGGGGGGGGCAGATGGAAAATAAAATAAACTGGTTGTAATAGTCTGATGCACTTGGTGGGTTTGGATTTGGTTCGTTCGGTGCTGATTTAAAAACCACAGTTTCTCTTTCTGCATGAATCCGTGTGGCTGCGCGAAGGACTCGGCGGCGCGGAAAGAAAGTTCCTCCCGGCTCCGGACCGATAGCCACGGCGCCGTTTGTCCGATCTGACGTGTGCAGCGTCGACTTTTCATCTCACGTTGACGGCACCTTGAGAGAGAATTTGATCCGTGCACCTGCGTCCCATACGGGGGTCTAAATCTGGCTTCAGGCTTCACGTGCACTTTAATGCAGTGATTCTCAACTGGTGGGTTGCGACCCACTAGTGGGACCCGTTTGCCTGGGAAAATAAAAATTAGAATAAAAAAAAAAAAATTCATCCTGTGATTTTATTTTGAAGGGACTTTTTTAATGCAGCGGAGTGTGGTTTATTTTTGCCGGCTCGTCCGTCCATGTTTTCAGCAGCGTGTGCCAGGTTTATTTAAATTATTTTGAATTTGTTGCAAGCTGCTCCTCATAGTGTTTGTCATAGATCTGTAAAGTTCAAAGGTCATCTGTCTCTTTTTTCGACTTTTTTCTTCGAGTTTGTTTGAAATGTCTGAAGATTCTTAATTGTTTTGTATGTTGTAATACAAAGTGTAAGGTACACTTTGGGGTTTTTAGCTAATTGACTGTAAAAGGGAATAGTTCCCTCTCTAGCATCGCTACCAGCTGGCTCTTTTGTTTTTTTCATTAAGCTTGTTTTTGTGTTGGCAGACGTATTCTGTCTCCGTACTGTCTCAGGTAGTATTTGGGTCGCTTGTCATTAAGGGGTGATGGTGGGTCCCGGAGCCGGACCTGTTGAGAACCACTGCTTTAATGCACGGACGTTAAGCTGAATACTCAACGATATAGAAACACTGGATTCAGAAGTGTTTTAAAACGCACCTTTAGCCGTTAGTACGTGAAAAGGGGGCCACGCCGCCGCAGACAAACATTTCCAACACCAGCGTCTAGACGAACCCTTCAGCGATCCATCAGTGACACGACACGTGCACTCAAAGGTCCATTCGGCCCGCCGTGCGTCCGCAGAGGGACCGGAGCATTGTGCACAGTGCATCCAAGCCTCTGATTGGTGCTGGCAGAGGAGGGGTTAAACAAGATACCGACTCTGCACAGAGGGAGGGAGGGAGGGAGGGAGTCGAAGAGTTTTACCTTTCCCTCCCTGAGTTGGTTCAGACTGTATCTGAGCTAATAGGACCTCGTGCAGACTCCACGTCTCGTGCCGCTGCAGAAATCATCAGGGCGAGAGAGCCCGCGTTCGAGAGAGGAAGAGAAAAGGGGGAAGGGAGGGGTGGGGGAGGAAAGGAGAGGGAGAGGAAACAGTGGAGATTACGGAGAGCATAAACACTGTAGGATGGCCGAGTTAACAGAGCGAGGGAGGATATTCTCAATTGAATTTTAAGCAGGTGTCTGCGTAGCGGGATCATATACTGCTAGTTATTCCCTGATAAGTGCAGACATTCGCACAGCGGCAGAAATCTCTTCCATTCTGCCCCTGACTTCAACAAATTGAAACAAACGAACGAATAGTTCCTAGTTTGCTTCCTAATGCGACCTTTTCAAAACATGACCTTTTCCCGTTGATGCTACCTATATCATTCAAAGCAAGAAACTATGCCAATGTGCACCAACGCGTACGCACCACCACCGTCCTCTCCGCTCAGAGACCACGTGCATGCTTTTGGAATTTATTTAAAATCATATTTGCCTCCCAGATTGTGCCAGATGCCAGCTGCTGTGTTATGCATGAAGTCACGGTGGGTCTCCCTTTAAGGTCACGCTCATAAAACAACGTTTGGCTGCGGCACGCGGAGCGTCTCTGCACGTCTCTGCACCGCGCAGCGTCTCTGCACGTCTCTGCACCGCGCAGCGTCTCTGCACGTCTCTAAAATGTGTTTTAGTGTCTCACAATCGGCTCTCACTATTGCCCGAGCCCTGATTTGACAACGCGTGGTGACATAACTCCCACTCGTTGTGTTGAGGAACAAGACTCCTGGGGTGTGTCACCTGGAGTCTTTTCTGATTCTTGTGTCTGTGTGTGTGTGTGTTTTTCTTTGTGTGTCCACTGGCGTCCTTGCACACTTGTGTCAACGTGCACGAGCCTGGCTTTGTGTTTGTTTGCGTGTGCAGAGGCGAGTCCCGGCCTGCTGCTCGGGTGTGTGCACACGGACGTGTTTGTCTGTGTGTGTGTGTGTGTGTGTGTGTGTGTGTGCGCGTGTGTGTGTGTGTGCGCGTGTGTGTGTGCGCGTGCCCCTGTGTCTGTGTCAGTGAAACCGTGGACCGAGCCCAGGACCAGATGTTTCAGATGTGAGCTGAGATAATGAAATTATAATAAAACGGTCACCGTGTTTGTACAGAAATGACTTGGAGGCAGATTTTTATCCAACACTGATTACATTCTTTTTTTATTCTTTGTACTAAACACTAATGAAAAGATAATTTAATTTAATTCCGAAACTAAATTATTTTTCTTTAAGATTTCTAACAAACTACATTAAAACACAAACAATAGTAACAAATAAAGTACTAAAGTAGTAAAACTAAACTTGTGTGTCCAGTTGCATGTGTGTGTGTGTGTGTGTGTGTGTGTTTGTGAACCAAAACACATTTCTGTTATTAGTTATTTTCACCTACTTCAATCTGTGAATATATGTTTCCTTTCTCCGATTGTAAATGGGCAGATTTGGGGATTTGTTTTTTACAAGCGATGCCTCAATGTGGACGTTAATTAAGTACACGGACCAAACAATGAATGAATCACAAAACAGACCGAAGTGATTGTTGGGCCCTGAGAGAGCGGCCATTGTAAACTTCCCCGGAGGGATCCGATGCGTTCGAGGAGTAGTGGAAGAGGCCAAACACAGTGTGTGTTTACGTTACAGTCCTCCTTATGTAACTCACTTCCTATATCACATTCCACCCTGAGTCTCTGTGTTTGGACCAAACAGCTGCTGGCTCACAGTCCGCAACTCTGAGCCGGTAAATCCAGCGCCGGTCTTTACCTGATGCTGCTGTTCTACACTGCTAACACTGTGAATACTGCTAACACTGCTAATACTGCTAACACTGTGAATACTGTGAATACTGCTAACACTGCTAACACAGCTAACACTGCGAATACTGTGAATACTGCTAACACTGCTAACACAGCTAACACTGCGAATACTGCTAACACTGCCAATACTGCTAACACTGCGAATACTGCGAATACTGCTAACACTGCCAATACTGCTAACACTGCCAATACTGCTAACACTGCTAACACTGCCAATACTGCTAACACTGCCAATACTGCTAACACTCATAACACAGCTAACACTGTGAATACTGCGAATACTGCTAACACTGCTAACACTGCCAATACTGCTAACACTGCCAATACTGCTAACACTGCCAATACTGCTAACACTGCTAACACTGCCAATACTGCTAACACTGCCAATACTGCTAACACTACCAATACTGCTAACACTGTGAATACTGCCAATACTGCTAACACTGCTAACACAGCTAACACTGCGAATACTGCCAATACTGCTAACACTGCTAACACTGCCAATGCTGCTAACACTGCTAACACAGCTAACACTGCGAATACTGCCAATACTGCTAACACTGCCAATAGACTGCTAATACTGCTAACTTTGCTAACACTGCTGATATTGCTAACATTGTTAATACTAATAACACTGCTAATATTGCTAACACTGTTAACATTGCTAATACCACCGGTGCTGCGTTTGCTGATATCAGAGAGAGCACTTCTCGGGCTACTGAGGGTTCTGAAAATTAATACCGGTACTGCTACTTAATGGTACTGCTTGTGCTGATACTTCCACAAAGGTTCTGTTGCTAAAAAGTACTCCTACTTCTACTTCTGAGGCCACTGCTTCAAGGACTTGTAGTAGTTATGTTAGCGCTGCAAAAGGCGTCGCCGAGCGGACCTTGAACTGCTTTGCGTGATTGTTTCGACTGTACGAGATAAACCGCCGGTTATTGTCTGTTGTCATGGTAGAGATAGGCGTCAGCCTGTCTCCTATCGTTATCTGTCTCCTGTCACCTGTCTCCTGTCACCACGCCTCACGAGAGGAGTAAATTGTTACTTTCATATTCATACATCATGAGTATAATTGAAGAAATCATTCATTTGAAGGTAAATCCTCTGCTGTATGACGATGATGTCAATGACTACGAGGAAGAGCCCCTGAAGTTCAGGGTGTTTTTAATGAGGTTTTTGTGCTTTGGTTACGTCTTCAGGTGGACGTTTTTGGGTGTTCCTGCATTGAGTTGGTTGGTTTCAGGTGGACCGTACGTGCATCAAGTCAAAGTATACTTAGATCAAGCGAGGCGATTATTCAGGAGGAAGCGTTGCTCACCTGCCTCTCAAACCTCCACCTCTCTATTCTCTGCTCATGTGGGCGTCTCCGCCCACGGCCGATGATTCCTGCGCTCCCTGAACACTGCAGCAAAATGGCGGCTGACTTCTTTTCATCTTTTTTCTCTCGGTTGGAGCTCTTTCGAAAAAAGTCGGGTTTTTCTCCCCCAAAAGAGAGCAGCTCTCCTCGTCCCGAAGTTACAAACGCATCGCTCGTATTCATCAGAATGCGTCCGAGGATCAGCGCTCCACCTCCTGCAGCGCTTCCTGTGATTGACATCCTGGATAATGCGGCAGCTGTTTCTTTTTTAAAATGAAGGATTTCAAGCAGGATTGCTTGACTTGACAGGAATATGAATAAGAAATGAAAGCTCGGAGGCGCGACCTTCTGAAGGTCATCCGGGGAGCGTTCGCGTCGCGCTCTCTGTGCTGGAAACAGGGGCCACTTTGAATTAAAAAAAAACATCGAGCAGTGGTTGTTTTTTAAATATGCAAGGCCTGATGGAAGGGAGGGGGGGGGCAGAGACATGAAGCTCACCCGGTACCGGCCAGAGACCCGTGTTCCTGGACCAGTTTCAACTTTTTACCCCAAACGGTTGTTATTAGGACGCGGCTTTGGGCCGACTTATGCAGGATGAGCTGTGTCCAGCTGCCAGAGAGTCAGATCACCCGGGAGCAGCTCATCTGATGAAAGTCGGACAAACAGATGGACCAGAGGGCCTGAAGGCGGATGAGGAGGACCGCATCTGCTGCACTGCACTGTGGGCTGTGAAAAGGACCGGCATCTAAAGGGGTTCATCTATGGGAGGATGATCCATGATCATCAGCACTTTTGAGGGGATCATTTGATGAATTAGACGCAATTGCGCATATTCGAACGTCGGTCCAGAAACGTAAAACGCAAAGATACGTAACGAATGATTATATGAAGTAAGATGCAGTAGCAGTTTCTAGTGAGTGGCCACATTCGTAACTCATGAAGTTGAGCAGAAAGTTGCTTATTAACACATTCAGCGGATTTAAATCCAGTATTTTGTCTCTTTTTTGCGTTATATCTGCTCAGAACCACACTACATAGTGTGTCATTGACCCTTCATTAGGGGTCTCTTTTGTGGTCGCTGGTGGGCTTTCCTGGTGGTGTTCAGCTTGAGCTCTGACTGGAGAGGATATTCGCCTTCTTGCGTCGGCTCCGCGGAGTCATTTGTTTGCGCGTTGCCAAGTTGAGTCGTTTAATCCGGGAGCAAACTTCAACGTTAACGACAACGGGATGCCCGGAAAACCGAAGAACAATCGGGGTTTGGACTCCTCTGCCAAAATGTCAAACGCTGCAGGACGACAGGTCAATCAACAGGCTGTATCTGTCCATCAAGCCCAAAATAACTGTATACACCTGAAAAAGGTTTTCCACTCTTTGGCTCGACCGAAAGAGAAAGACTTTACATGGATTATAAATGCATGACGCATTCATGGTTTGTAAATCCAAGCTCCGAACACTCGGATTCTTTATCGTAGATGGATTTATGCTCACAAAATGTACAGATCGTGGACGGAACGTACGGAGAGTGTAGCCGCTTTTTATAACGAGAAGGTTGATTTTGACACAAGTCTGAACTAGAACTCACAGCGTCTACACTCCCACAATGCATTGCTCTCGCCCTCCACCCGCCATGTAATAAAATGACTGAGGGCTCAAAACAGAAAGAATAATAACATCATCAGAAATATACAAAATGGAAAGAAATTGTGCGATGAGCACCCGGCGTGGAGACGTGAGTGTGAACAGAGATGAAGTAATGCAGAGGAGCTGCAGGGCGGAAGCAGCGAGGAGGAAGTTCTCATCTGCTGCAGATTTAGGAGAAGCATCCCAGAATATCCGGACCCGACTCCACTGAATCCTTCTTCAATCCCCTGTCTTGTAACATGTGATTTATTAGATTATTTAATTCCACAACGTTGATTTTCACCAACATACGTCCTGTGTGGTCTCCCCACAGACCTTCATGGAAACACGCGACAGACACAAGAAACGGTTGAGGGGTCCCTGCGTCTCTGCATCCGCTGATAATAAAGATTTTTCTCCTGCGCTGCGCCCGAAGGGTTAAACACACTCCTGCTCTCCCCGGCTGGCTGCACTGTAAATCCTGCATGACGTGAACTCGCTGCCCCGCTCGCTTCCTCTCCGGCTCGCCGCCGCCCCCCGCTGGCGGCTCCGCGTCACTCCGGCGTTGAGCGTTTCAACGTGCAGGGAAACGACTCCCCTCAGCCATTTTGAATTGGTTTGGAACGTGATGTTGGGAGTAGTCCGGGTGGAGTGATTCGGGTGGAGTGGTCCGGGTGGAGTGATTCGGGTGGAGTGGTCCGGGTGGAGTGATTCGGGTGGAGTGGTCCGGGTGGAGTGATTCGGGTGGAGTGGTTCGGGTGGAGTGGTTCGGGTGGAGTGGTTCGGGTGGAGTGATTCGGGTGGAGTGGTACGGGTGGAGTGATTTGGGTGGAGTTGTTCGGGTGGAGTGGTCTAGGTGGTGTGGTCCGGGTGGAGTGGTCCGGGTGGAGTGATTCGGATGGAGTGGTTCGGGTGGAGTGGTCTAGGTGGTGTGGTCCGGGTGGAGTGATTCGGGTGGAGTGGTCTAGGTGGTGTGGTCCGGGTGGAGTGGTCCGGGTGGAGTGATTCGGATGGAGTGGTTCGGGTGGAGTGGTCTAGGTGGTGTGGTCCGGGTGGAGTGATTCGGGTGGAGTGGTCCGGGTGGTGTGGTCCGGGTGGAGTGATTCGGGTGGAGTGGTCCGGGTGGAGTGGTCCGGGTGGTGTAGTCTCACAAATTTCTCAAAGGAAATGTTCATTTAATTGACTTAGTTGATGACACACAGTTTATTTGATGTTTGTGTAGTTTTGGTAGAATCCTTTCAGGCCATAAAATGGTAAAAATTGCTAATAATTGCTGCTGTCACCATTAACCAACAACACGTGGAAAAGTAGTGAACAATAATTAGAAAAATATATTATTATGTATAAAAATGTTGTATATTGTACTAATAATCTAATGTGTAAGGAAAAGTGTAACGGTTTTAAAATAGTGCATTTCCAAATATTCTGAGAATATATTTATATTTGGAGTGTTTTTTTGTCTTATGGACCCTCAGTCGTCACATCACACCCTGCAGCTCGAGACGCATTCAGAGGAAAAGTTCAAACGAGATCATCGTCGTTAGCATGTTAGCCGTTAGCTTGTCCGCCGCCCTCTGACACGTGACCCGCCCTGGCAGGGGCAGACGGGTTCTAATCTGCAGATGGAACCAGATGATGGTGCTGATTGAACAGCTAAATGAGGAATGGAGCAGATTATTTAAAGACGATAAGCGCTGATCACGCTGTCCTCTCTCATTCCGGCTCCCTTCTGGTTATATTCATCTGACTATCGCTCACAAAGCCGCCAGATTTGAACGCCGTTGACTTTAAATAAAGAGCCTCTTTAAACGCTCTCTCTCTTCCCCCCCCAGGTGGACGGGCGGCGCCTCAGGACGAGGCTCCCACTTCTACCTGTCCTCCGGGGCCCCCTGGGCCTCCGGCGGCCGTCAACGGCACCAGCGACGTAACGGTGAACTTTGACCCTGACCCGGCGGACCTGGCGCTGTCCAGCGTGCCGGGCCAGGAGGCGTTCGACCCGCGGCGGCACCGCTTCTCCGACGAGGAGCTGAAGCCTCAGCCGATGATCAAGAAGGCCCGAAAGATGCTGGTCCCCAATGAGCAGAAGGTACTACACCTCCCACAATCCTTTGTAATAAGGATCCTGACAGGCTAAAACATGTATTGTCCTTTGTTTGATGACGCATCGATGAATAGTCAGACTTTTGTTTCTTTACCATATTATTTATGAATGATTCTGAAAAAAACTGACAGGGGCCTGTAAAGTTGATTTTTGCACAAATGCTGCAAAAACAGCCCTCTGAGGATGTCGTTATTCTCTGGGATTTCCTTAAAATAAGTGGAAATATTTGATATTTGTAATATTTTTATATGATATAGGATTTTATTAAATGACAGCGACCTGCCTCACTTCTCAAAATACCCAATTATTAACAGAAAAGCGTCGTTCAGACACAGATTCCAATGTTGTCACATTGGCTCGGATTCTTTAATCATCACAAATAAAGCCGTATTTAAAGTGGCCTTAGAGAGAAAGAGGACGCCACGCAGCCCGCTGGCGTCTCCGCGCTCGCCTCATTTCACAATAAGAGCACCGCTGATCGATGGCTCCTGCTTTCACGGTCAGTGCGGAGCAGCTGC